TTGTATAATGTGGTCAGTCTGACTAGATATCCTGGGAGATGGTGGACGGACAGGGTCTGTAGGGAACCCTACCGGGATTGTGGTCTCTCATACCGGACGGAGAATTGAGACCTTATGTGTTTTGGCGCCCATACCAGACGGGGTATGGGGACAGCCCGTTTCACCCTCATACCGGACGAGGTATTGAGGTTTATGGTTTTGGCGCCCATACCGGACGAGGCATGGGGACGACCCTAGAATTTGATTACAAATGTTAAGGGTTCACGGGTAGCGGGATCCCTATGGATCCCCATGGATACTAGTAGGCTGGTAAATGAGAAAAATATGTTGTGTAAAGATTGAAATGCAAAGGCGTGGTAAGTATTATGTTATACAGTTCATATGATTTCATGATGATGATAATGTTATTACTTTCGTATGTTGTTTTATGAACTTCACCGAGGTAAGTGGATAATAAGGAATTTTATTATTGATAAAAGAATTTGTTGTAAATTATGCTCCATTGGTCTTTTTGTGTTTTCTACCCACATTTACTTCCGTGGCGGTAGATAGTGTGATGTCTTTACTGGACTGATGTAGCTCATTCCTTATTTAACCATTTCAGATCAGGAAGATATTGTTCCCGAGCCCGTTCCACAGGAAGACGGCGAAGGGGACGCCTAAAGATTCCGTAATTATATTTATAGTTTTTATTTTCGAGTTTCTCTATTAGTTAGTTTGAAATTTCATATTTTGAGTACGTTTTGGTTATTGTGTAAGGGATGTTAGTCAAAATTTTTATCACGCTTCCGCAATTGACATTTTTAATATATATATTTAATTTAAATTTCCGGAACCGTTACAATATACATAGTAATTAGGGATTATTGTCTCTTATATAAATCACATAAATGTGAGGTCTTTAAATAAATCACTCAACTCAACAAGAAAAATAATAAATTATTATGATTAAACATACAAACAAATCATGAATCAGATACACCAATTTGATTTTTTTAAATAATATATATATATTTATCTATATATCTATATACCATAAGTTGGCTAAAACAACCAAACAAGTCCTACCAAAATCAACAAACAATGCACAGTTATTCTAGTAATATCCAAAACACGTAAAGAAATAGAAGCAGCAGAATCATCCTGAACGACGTCGCTTTCATCTCGAGGATGATCGAAGTTAGAAGGCACAATGGTATCAGGCGCAGATTCATCGTCGTCTCCAGCCTGAGGACTGTACGGAGCCGGCGATTCTTCCGCCGGAGACTTTAAACTCTGCGGTAGGCCTTGGCCGTGAGTCACGTTTATCTTGAAACGCTGTCCGTACTCGCATTGTTCGCCGTCGTAGTAGCCGGAGAAGAAATAGTTCATGCCTTCCTTAACGAGAGGTACTGCCACCGTCACCGGTTGCGGCGAGATTGCGGACGGATCCGCCGCTAACCAGTCGATTGTGTCGTTTCCTAGGGCGTCGTAGTCGTCGCAGAGTTTGTAGGTGGTGAAGTTGTAGGTTTGAACTACAGAGTGGTTGTTGTCTGTGTTGAAGACTGCAGAATATATTACACATGTAAATTACTATACATACTTTTTTCTTTATCTTTTATTTTTATTTTAATTTCATTTTTTATTTTAATTTCATTTTTATCAAAAAATTTAAAAAATATTGATCATATTTTTAACCCGTTATACATATTCTACTTAATAAACCTAATTTCACAATTTCACCTAAAAAAATATAATAATATATTTATCAAAATTTAACATAACTAAATTATTATAACATCATTCACGCAATAATAAATTAAATTATTAATTTCATTAAATTAAACATTATAAATGAATTACTAATAATTTATAATACACTCATAAAATAATAAATTATATATTTTATAAAAAAAATCATATATTCTATATTAATTCAAATTAATACTAGTTGTTAATATCGTCATTAAATTAAATATTATAAATTTATAAAATAATAAATTACATATTTTCAATAAAAAATTTTATATTTTACCTTATTTCGATTTAGATTTAATTACTTATAAGGTCACCGAATCAAACATTATAAATCAGTCACTATTAATTCATAATACATTCATAAATTAATAAATTTTACGTATTCAATAAAAAATCACATATTCTATATTGGTTCGGTTCGGGCTTGATCAAATTTATCAAACTCGTTTTGACTCGATACAAATTATTTATTATAAAAACTAATAATAGAAATCAAAATATTAATAAAATAATTAAAAATAAAAAAACAAGTGACTCACATATTAATCGGGCTCTTCCCCATTCGCTTTGATAATTCAGGCCCGACCCCGACCCCGACCCCGACCCATCTAATGCCGGGTGGCCGGCCCTAAAGAATTACTCTTTCTACCCACCCACCCGCACTATCACTCGGGTCGGGTCGGGTCGGGTCGAAATTTATTCTGAGAGTTGTAATTTTAAAAATTAAAAAGTTGGGAAGAATATTATGAAATTGGCAGGATTAATGTACTTTACAGTGCAGCGAGAGAATGAGAATTTTGTTTGTGATTTAAAATATATATATATATATATATATACTGCCGACAAAACAATGATGTAGTGCCAGCCGGGTATGAAGGGGAAGCAGGTGAAGGTTTGATCGTTTCATGTTACTTCTTCTCGAATTTGAGAAGAAAGCAGCTGCAGGATTATTTACTTTTATCATAACAAACCACATGGAGGAAGGAAGGAATCTTCTTCTTCCGAATATTTGAAAAAGAAAGTATGAAATTCCATTAAAAAAAAAAATAATATAAAGTTTTTTTAATATTTTATGAACTAAAATAAAGTATTCCTAAATACCATATAATAATTTTTTACGTACAATTATCACTATATTATATAACTTGAATTGCAACCATATTTATAATTTAATTTAACAAACCTTATAACATTTTATTTGGCATATTTATTTTAATCTATTAATACTTGAATCATGTGAATTTTTTATTTTTTATTACAAATTATTGGATTTTTTATTACTTTCTTTCGGAAATATCTAATTTTTTAAATACCATTTAAAAATTTAAAATTATATACAATAAATTATAAACAAAAAAATATTTATCTAAATATTATTAATTAAATTAAATTAAAATATTAATTTTTTTAAATAGATAATATTTCAAAAATTGATAGTCGGTCATGTTATCTTTCTGAATAGAAAACCAAAAAAATAATGTTACCACGTGTCAAGTTACTATAGGTTGACATAAAGATCCATGCACCACCTGTTTTTAAAAGCTTTTTCTCTCGCATTCAATGTTTCTTCCTCTATTTATTCCCTATTTTTGGCTTAGATATAAATTAAATTAAATTAAATTAATTTTTTTATAATAAAGTATATATTAAATTTTTTAATTTATTTTATTTGAATATATCACGATTTATTAAAATAAATTTTAATTTAGTGATTATATTCATATTAATATTTATTGTAATTATCTATAAAAAAAATATATAGAGAAATTCTAAATTCACTAATAAATTTTGTTGGTTTATTATTATAATTAGGAAATAATTTAAGATCTTCAATGTACTTTATGTGAGGTTGATATATAAATTTGACCATTTCCTAAAATTGAACCATTGTACCTGAGATTTACACGAACACCCAAAGAGGAAACTAACCTAAATAAATACTAATTGGATTTGGATAAGAGGTTATATAACTAGCTAAAAAGAAATGGAAACTTAAAGAGGAAACTTAGAAGAGATAGAAAATAAAAGAGGAAACTCTTTTGATTTTAGTTTAAATTTAATTAATTTCTCTACGATATTTCAGTATTATGTAATTTAATTTTTTTAACTTTATATAAATTATTATTTTTTAAATAATATTTATCCGAAATTTAAAGTAATGAATTATAAAGATTTATAAAATTATAAATTTATTTATATGTAAAATTCTATAAATTTATATTTTCTGTAATTTAAATTTAAATTTATTGCAAAAATATATAATCTATCCAAACCAGGGAAAACGAAGGTGTAAATTCCCTAATTAATTAAAATTAATTAGCTATTAATTTGGTAAATAAATTCAAACGGAGAGAAAATCAAGGAGTGTTTGCTTACTGAGAAAATCTCCTAAGCTGAAGTGCTTTCCGTCGGCCCATTCCTGGTAATCCACGCCGGGCTTCTCTAGCGAATCGAACCATCCCAGGGAGTCGCCAACGGTGTAGTTTTTATAAGCTTTCACCGGCGAAATTGATCCGCAGAAACAGACGACGATGATAAGAAGAATAAGACGATGATGAAGACGACGACGATGGAGACTGGAGAAGAAGAAGAAGAAGAAGAAGAAGAAGAAGGAAGAGAAGGAGGAGTAGGTTTTCTGTTCCATCAGTGTTGGGATCTGTGATATTTGTGGATTTGATTTTTCTGATCAGTTTGTTTTTCAGTTTTCACTGCAAATGTTATGAGGATTTTATTGGGTGTGGATTTTATACACATGTGGTGCCAAAAGCAACTCTCTCTCTCTCTCTCTCTCTCTCTCTCTCTCTCTCTCTCTCTATATATATATATATATATATATTTATATATATTATATGTTGGATGTATTTGTACAACCTTGTATAAATTTACTATAATGGAGCTAATATATATGTATATGTATATGTTTGTTCCTTACAAAAATATACAAGATTTATCCAAACTCAATCCAATTTGATTAATAATATATTAATAAATTAAATTTTAAATAAAATATTATAGATATAAATTATTTATTTGATAAAAAATATAATAAATTTATCAAAATTTAATACATTTTTATTTAATATTATATTAATAAAATAAATTAAATATTATAAATTAATTATTAAACTCGTAATACATATTCTTATTGTTATGGGTTGTTCTGTCTAGCTTGATTACTAATAATATATTAATAAATTAAATTATTAATTAAATATTATAAATTAATTATTATCAGTTCATAATATATTTATAAAATGACAACTTGTATATTTTATATAAAATTTAAATATTTTAATTTTAAATAAAATATAAAAGTTTTAATGAATTATTTTGTTGATAGTATTGAAATCTCTCTTTTATTACCTTTTTTTTTTAGTATATGTAATTATTAAAGTAATTTATTAAAGTTTTTTTTTTTAAGAAAACATATACATATACATATACATATACATATACATATACATATACATATATATATGTGTGTGTGTGTATGCATTCATGTGGAAAAATAATAGAAAGCAGCTCACATATCTTGTCAAGGTGGACCACATATGGTTTGGTATTATCAAACAAATTAATTTCATGTACACAAATAATGCACAACAAGGACCTTAACACATCAATCTTATAGACATACAACTAATTAGATTTGACTTTTTTACAAAATCATTTTTTTTATATCACATAAAAACTTAAATTATTTTTAACCCAATCACTATATTTTTATATCAAAAAATTAGTTTTTATTACTATTTTGTGTAAATTATTTATTTATTACATTGCATTAAAAAATAAAATTATACTTTAATGTTTTTCTCTCATTTTTTGTATTGTAAAAATATGAAATCTTAAAGGAAATGAATTTATAATTTTAATGCGGAAGTGAATAATAGAGTTTGTATTTACATTCATTACACAATAATTTAAAATGTCAAATAAAATTACGAGAATGTTCATTCTAAATGTCAAACAGTAATTAAAAAAATAAATAAATAAACAAGTATCCTATGATAACTTTTAATAGCACTTGAAGGGAGTTCGAGTGGTGAATTACTTACAACCATCTTGCTGATCGGGATAGATTCTAATATTCTTGATATAAAATGGTTAATGAAATGGTGAGCTACACTACTTTAGTAAAATTATCACACTAATTACGAATACGAAAAATTGAATATTGGTAAAAATTAAAAAAATAACTAATGAAACTTTTGCTTTAATTATATACATTTAACATAAAGACGTTTGTTTGATACATACCTTAACGAGTTTTCTAAAAACAACCTATGAAAACTCATATTCATATCACTTTTCATTCTCATACATAA